TTTTTTTTTTTTTTTTTTGTTCTTGCAGGGTTGGGTTTTTTGGTTTTGGGTTTTTTTTTCCAATTATTTTGTTTCTAATTCTGTCTCCTGGATCTTGGTTGAATGGAGTCAGCTTTCTCTGTAGTGCTCTTCCCAATGCACCTGGCTCAGGACCTGCACAGGACCCCCATCAAACATTTCTGCCAATGCATTTCTGCCCAAGGCAGCAGTATCTCTGGTCTCCCTCTCACCAAGCACTTGGCTTAGGCTGCTGGAAATCCCAGTGACTTACTACCATTCCCCAGCTTCCTAGTGACTTGCTGCCATCAGACCAGAAAACCATGCTTAGGCAAACCCACCATGATAAAGGCACAGAGCCAAACTGTTTGCTGGGCCCAGGACTAGAACAGTATGACCTGTTGCTTTCAGGGTCAAGGACTGTGGAGGGGGTCTTCTGAAGGCCCAAGTCTCAGCAATAGAGGGGGTGCATTTATACAGGGAAACATAGTGGCCGATCAGTGGGCTGCAGAGGTGGCAAAGCAGGAAGGGTTGCAAAATAATACCAAAATACACTGAGCAGAGCTACACTGCAGGGTTGGGAGGGAGCCTTTTTATATTTTTATATTCCTGACTCAAGGAACATTTCTGCCTCCTTCTTCACTAACTGTGTGCCTAAAGGCTTGTAATCAATGGGAAAAATCAATCACTTTTCTGGTGCCTCATAGCTCGTAGGGTGGGGAAGACGATAGGGCGGTGTGAAATTTTGCTGGCTGTTTCGATTTGATACTGTTTCGGCCCGTTTCGAATTCAAAACAGTGAAATCAAATTGAAACAAAGGGCTTCGAAACAGCCTCAAAACAAAACGAGGCTAGTCGAAACATTTTGAAAGTTTTGAAAAGTTTCGAGTTTCAAAGCAGCCAGCAGCGAGGTGGTGGGAGACAGGGGAGAACCAGGGCTGGGCGCCCAGCAGCAGCCAGGAGCGCAGCCCTGGCTCTCCCCATCTCCGGCCATGGGGGTTAAGAGCTCCAGGAGTCACCCCAAATTACTGGGTACCAACGCCCTTCAACAGATCAATCTTTGTTCCTTACAGTTTCCATTCCAAAAGATTTGTAGCTACGTTTCATAGATTTCAGAGACATCAGGGCTGGAAGGGACCTCGCGAGATCATCAGGTCCAGCCCCCCTGCCCAAGTCAGTTTGGGTCTGTGTGCTCAGTCTTTGCATCATCCCAACATTTGAATCTGAACCTACATTTCAGCTATCTTATCCAAACTTATATGTTTTACAGGTTCTGAATTGAGCCATTCTCAGTATTTATATATGTCCAGTATAGAGACACCACCGCACAGGACTTCTGAATCAATCTTTGAATTACACAATGAAATTATGCAGGACACAGCCTGTAGTGTGAATCTCCAGACACCAGAGACCGTCTCATAATATCCCCAAGCCTCAGAGGTATTAAAATAACTTCCTCTCCACTTTTATCAGAAGAGCCACCTCTTTCCAGCAGCTTATCCACCCCACCCCTGCCCCTCCACGCTCCGGCTCTTGACTGTCACCTAATGCAGCTCCTACAGCTTATAGAAAATGCACATGATCTCACTAAAAGGTCAAAATGGTTTGGTTTAGCCATGAAAAGTGTCATACTTCTTAGAATCTCATGGTTTACTGCGGTACCTGAAATTCCCTTGGTTTCTACTGGTAGAAAAGGAAACAGCATATGATAACAGCCCAGACCAGAAAAGAGAACTCTGAATTTCTCTGAATTTTAAAACATGAAGAATTTCTTGACATGCAGAGAAAGGCCCCAGTGAAGCCAAAGTGCTGAGTGGTGGGCGCTTAGTACCTCTGAGAAGCAGGCTGTTCTTTGGGGCTCCTAGATATGCATCTCGGAGCATACAGGTTGAAAAATGTTGGCCACCGCTTTTTATGAGCCGTCTGAAAACATGTCCTAGAGCTTCTTCTAGTTAGAAAAAATTAACTTTTCTATTTCAGTTTTTTTTTTTGCAACCATCTTCTAGACCTTAATAGGAAATGGTAATCCTTGCTCTGGAATTTGATTAGGAACTTAGCCTGTAGAACGGTCTTAATTTTCTGCTCAACTGTGTAGGTGCAGAAACCTACCGGGTTTGTTCCTACTGAGTTCTGTAAACACCTTTCCAGAAAGGAGTGATTTAATGGTAATTGAACTTTAAATTAAGGATTTTCTGTGCTGCCTTTGTGTGAAAATGGGGGATTTTTATTTTTTTTTAAAGATCTGACCTCTGCATGCTGTGGGAAGTCTGAGACTGGGAAACGCTCCTTCAGTAATAAACACGTAAAATCTTGGGTGCATGATTTTAGGAAAGGGGTTGTGTATAGGAGTAGGGTAGTGGTCATGTAGCTAGCTGTGAGGTCTGGCATGGGCCCTGTTCACCAGCAACTGGAGTGAAAGACGCAGCACACTATAACCAGTGCATAAGGGAGAACACTTTTGGTTGTCACTCTTAATTTGGGAGAAGTCTCTGGCTCTCGGCTGTGGGGGCCCTTCACCCCCTGGAGGTGGAAGGTAGATCAAGGTCACCCTCCAGGGCAAGGGAGGAGTCGGGGATCTCCAACGCTGTCCAGCCAGGGAGTTGGACCACGGTGGTCAAGGGCCCCAAGACCTGCTGCACCAAGGCTCCCTCCCCTCTGGGGCTTTGCAGCAGGTGCCTCTTGCAGCCCCAGTACGGCTTGCAGAGCTGCCAGCTCCAGCAGACATGAGGGGATCACCCACCCCTCCTCTCCCCAAGATGAAATGCAGAGTGCTCGACATGGGAGACTCCCTCTTGACGGGGGCTGAGGGGCAAAGTGCCGCCCTGACCCCCTAGCCCGGGAGGTCTGCTTCATCCCGGGGGCCTGCATCTGGGACATAGCCAAGACAATCCCAAAGATTCTCCAGCCCTCCGACCACTACCCTATGCTCCTTATCCATGTGGGCATGAATGACATGGCCTGGAGCAATCCCAGTCATTTCATGAGAGACTACAGGGCTTGGGGAGCGGGGCTTAGGGGGCTGGGGGCGCAGGTGGTCTTTTCCTTGCTCCTCCCGGTTGTGGGTCATGGGCTGAGGAGGGAGAGATGGGTCAATGTAGTCAACCAGAGACCGAGGTGCTGGTGCCATCGTGAAGGCTTTGGCATCCAAGATCGCAGCCCGCTCTTTGGCGAGGGAGGCAGCGAGCTGCTGGGAAGAGATGGCCTCCACCTCTCTCCGCTGGGGAGGAGGCTCTTCTCAGCCAGACTGGCTGACCTGCTGCACCCGGCTTTAAACTGAGCCTGCCGGGGGACAGGGGGACTACCGCCACTGCAAGCCCGCTGGGCAGTTTTTGTGTGAGGCGCTCAAGGGAACCCACCCCTACCCTAGCCCCGGAGCAATCTGTAGGGAAGGCAAGGGCCCCCATGGGGACACTTATGTGCCTGTATACCAATGCCAGGAGCCTGGGGAACAAACAGGAGGAGCTGGTCCTCCTGCTAAACCAAAAAGGATTACAATCTCACTGGGATAACGGAGACCTAGTGGGACTCCACCTATGAGTGGGCCACAGGTACAGATGGCTAGACCTTGTACAGGAGAGATCGTGTGGACAAAAGGGTCAGGGGTGGGGTAGCTCTCTATGTCAAGGAAAGCTAGGCAGCCCTGCAGCCGACACTGGCACCCAGGGGGACGATTGGAGACTCTCTGGGTCAAAATCCGTGGCGAACAAGGCGCAGGGGACACAATGGTGGGGGTCTACTACAGACCTCCGACCCAGGATCAAGAGCGTGACCAGGAATTCACCAGGGAACCGGCTGAGGCTGCACACTCCCGGGGCATGGTTGTCATGGGAGATTTCAGCTACCCAGACATGTCATGGGAAGAGCGCTCGGCCACATCCGAGCGGTCGCAACGCTTCCTTATGTGCATGGATGAGCTCTATCTAAAGTCTATGGGCCGATGAGAGGCAAAGCGCTGCTCAGGGGGGACCTGGTGGCTGCCTATAAGTACATCAGGATCTGGGGGAATGCCTGCTCACCAGCGTGCCCCATGGGATGACAAAGTCAAATGGTCACAAACTCCTCTGTGACCGTTTCAGGCTGGACATAAGGAATAACTTCTTTATAGTCTGAGCCCCGAAGGCCTGGAACAGTCCCCCCGCCGGGGGTGGTGCAAGCACCTACTCTGGACTCCTTTAAGAGTCAATTGGACGTTTATCTTGCTGGGATCCTGTGACCCCTGCGAACTTCCTGTCCTGGGGCAGGGGGCTGGACTCGATGATCTTTTGAGGTCCCTTCCACACAAATGTCTATGAAATCTATGAAATTTTGCAGGATTGACAGATGGGGGCTGGGGAAGAAATGTTGAAGTGTTGAGAGTTTTTAAGGGACAAGCACCAGTTTCCCACTTGCTTTAGCAGCTGATGCTTCTGGCCCTTGAATATTCCCATCACCTCTGCTCTAGGGACATCCCATTCCACCTGCGAGATGAGACCACCCCCCTCCTATTCATCAGCATTAAACAGAAGGTGGTGTCACTAGCCAGGCCTCTCATACCTGCTAACTTTCTAACAGGAGGCCTCTCGTGGATTGGTCCCCAAGGGCCGTCTCCCACAAGCTCATGACAGGAGATCTGCCAGGAGAAGGGGGCATCTTTTAGTGCATTTTTGTCCAGTAGAGAGCAGTTGTACCTGAATTTGCTTAACAGGTTTTATTTGTCGTATTTACACGATATCTCACAGGGTGTCTCTCTCCCTCCACAAAGACACAGACAATAAATAAAGGGACCCCATCAAAAAGGATTGCTCCCCGATGACTTAGTCGAGCTAGGCTTACATCCACGAGGTACCATGCTCATTGCAGCAGCCCAGAGAGAAGAACAGCAGCTGATCTATACACAAAAAAGAACTAGTCCAGCTTAGGTTAGGCTTTCCGATCAACCCTTCGCTTTGCAACCTCAGCTGGCAGAGGTTTGGATTGAAGGTACGACGGCTCATTTCTCTGCCATAATCCACGATTTGGGATTCCTCCTCAGCACACACTCCTCTCCTCCACTCAGTGCTGGGGTATTCTCCATCAGCTCCAGAGTACTAACGGCGCCGTGATTTCTTTGGCACCATGGGCGGTGGCTGGAGAGTCATCGTCTCCATGTTTTGCTCCGGCTGGAATACAACAGAGGCAGCAGATTAACTCCTTGAATCAGTGACAAGACTTCAAGAGCTAGAAGAGCTGTGGCCAGGCTTGATCAGGAGCGGCTGTAAAGGTTGCTAGGGTGCCCAAAGCTCTTCTCCCAGGAGACAAGCCCACCCTCCCCAAATCCCAAATGCTGGTCGGTGTATGGGTGTGCTCTGGCAGACAAGGTTCTTTGGGTCGATGTGCTATCTTTTATTAGACCAACTAAATAGTTGGAAAAGTCTTTGCAAGCTTTCGGGGACAAATGCCCATCTTCAGGCAAAGGGAGAGTCTGCTGGTGCTTTGTGTGCGCTCTGCCCGCTCCTCAAAGCCAATGACTCTACCACACTCCTCTAAGGGAGAAAGTCTGGCTCAAATACCCCAAGGTGTTTGGGAGCTTAATTGCCATTCAAATGAATGAGAAGAGGTACAAAACCTTGAGAAGCTGGCTTTTAGCTCAGGCAATAGAGGCTTCTGCTCTCAGCCCCAGAGGCTGGTGGTTCAAGGCTCAGAGAGGATGGGTTCCTCAGCTCATTTGTATTTTAATGGGCAAAATGGTCTGCGAAGCCTGTGGGTTGCAGACGGAGTGGTTTGTTACCCTGCTCAGCTTTGAATCACGCCAGTCCTCTGTGGGGAGGAGAGGAGGCAGATCTCCTGGGCAAGAGGCAAATGAGCCTCCTGAGGGAGGAGGAGTGTGTGAGATCAGGAAAGTCCCTGGGTGAGACAGGGGAACACCCGTATTACCACCACCACCAAGGCAATGGAGGCCTGCTGGAGAAATATCTGATGAGTACCTTCTGTAGGTGGAAGAGGCATTTTTCATAATCCTCTGCAGTGGAACAAGTGATGAGGATGGGCTCCATCAGGCTTCCTGCAGAGAAAGTGAGGAGATGGGTGTAGGATCAGTACACAAGCTTTGTCACAGCCCACAGGTTACCAGCCTACACCAGGATGCGGACCCTAGGTTCATCCTAGCAAGAAAGGGGTTAACCTCCTCCCACCTCCCCACAGGAACCCAGCTCTGATCTTCCACAGGTGTTCAGGGCAGGGCAATGAGGCAGGATTGGAAGGATTGGCCCAATTAGGGATTGCAGGAGACTATAACATCCTCATAGCCAGCAGCATAAGGAGGGTGCTGCTGTGGGCTTATACCCAGACATATGTTGGGGCTGGCTATAGGGGCGGAAAATAAAGAGATTGCTATATAGCTCAAGTGTCTAGTGATGGAGAAGGGACAGGACTCAGCAGTGATCGATAGGGAGAGGGAGCAGGACACGTGTTGATTTACTAGCTAAATGCAGGGGTTGGGAGCTGATTGCAGGTTTACCTTCCTACTGCTCTAGGGGGTTGGTTGTAGCCTGAAATGCAAGGGCATTTTCACAGATTCACAGGAGTCTGCCCTCTTGCTCTGAGCAGGAAAGATTGCTAGGGTCAAATAACCCCAGCAAGGTGTGTGTCCAGTCTCTCTTTGCGAAGGGGGTCCCCTAATCTGGGTCTGGGCTACGTAGTCCTAGGGGTGGATGACTCCCCTGCATTGGAGAAAGCTTGGTGATATATTGTATGGTCAACCCCATGCAAGCTCTAGGGTAAGCTATTCAGCTCCTTGCTGCCTGCTTCTCTCCACCATACCTGTAACTTCAAACTGCAGCCTCCCCAGCAGAGCAGATTTCTCCTTTGCCTGGATGCCATGTAAGGGGAGTTTTCCCTTCAGAAAGAAAGAAAGAGGAAAATGTGTGTAGGATTAGGGCAGCACTCCTTTAAATAAGCTGTGAGCTCTCCTGCAGTGCTTCTCATCGGGAAACCTCATTGGGAGCAGCATGAGGATGGTAGCTAGGCCTAGCAGAGTTAGGGAGGGCCCAATGCAAGCAGGAAATATGCCATCTTATAGGGCATCTGCTTTGATGTTTCTTAAGCGTGCTCTTGCCCTGTGGGTACCTTGAACCATAGACTAGCTGGGAGAAGGAGGTCAGAGGACATTCAATACAACACCTTGCAGGGCCCTTGGCATGGCTTTACGAGTGCTCGTGGTGCTCAGGCCAGGTGCCAGATGACTGGAAGGTAGCTAACGTGGTCCCCATCTTCAAAAAAGGGAAGAGAGAGGACCTGGGCAACTATAGGCCCGTCAGTCTTACCTCTATCCTTGGGAAACTCTTTGAGAAGATCCTCAAGGAGCACATCTGCGATGGGC